AAAAAAAAAAAAAAGATAAAACTAAGCAATGGACTTTCACAAAATAAGATGAATATAACACTACCACACTTATCAATTATCTCAATAAGTGTTAATGGCTTGAATTCCCCACTGAAGAGGTATAGATGGCTTATTGGATTAAAAAACACAAGCCATCCATTTGCTGTCTGCAGGAAACACACCTAGCTTCAAAAGACAAATTAAAACTCAGAGGTAAGGATTGGAAGACAATTTTTTAGGCAAACAGAATTCAGAAGAAGAGGAGTTGCAATCTTATGTTCAGATACATGTGGATTTAAAGCAACTAAAGTCAAAAAAGACAAAGACAGTCATTATATTAGTCAAGGGAAAAAAACAACAAGAAGACATTTCAATTCTAAATATTTATGCACCCAACTTGAATGCTCCCAGATTCTTGAAACAGACCTTACTCAGTCTGAGCAATAAGATATCCTGTAACACCATAATAACAGGAGACTTTAGCACTCCTCTTAAAGAGCTGGACAGATCCTCTAAACAGAAATTAAACAAAGATATAAGGGACTTAAATGAGACCCTAGAACAACAATGCAAATCAAACCCACCTTGAAATATCACCTGACCCCAGTGAGAACAGCCCACATCAGAAGGTCTCAAAGCTGCTGATGTTGGTGTGGGTGCAGGAAGAAGGGAACATTTATACACTGTTGGTGGGATTGCAACTAATATAGCATTTTTGGAAAGAAGTATGGAGAATCCTTAAAGAGCTCAAAGTTTATCTTTCTTTTGATCCTGCAATCTCATTACTAGGTATCTAATAAGAAGGAAAACAATTTTTTTTTTTTACAGTTTTTGGCTGGGGCCAGGTTTGAACCTGCCACCTCTGGTATAAGAGGCTGGGGGCACCCTACTCCTTTGAGCCACAGGCTCTGCCCAGGAAAAAAAATTTTTATCATAAGGACACATGCACTAAAATGTTTATTATAGTTTAATTCACAATCACAAAGATGTGGGAACAATCCAAGTGCCCTTCAACCCATGAATGGATTAATAAACTGTGGTATATGTATACCATGAAATACTATTCAGGCACAAAAAAGATGGACTTTGCAGCATTTGTATTTAGCTGGGTGGACTTGGGAGAACATTCTCCTTTGTAGAGTATCATAAGAATGGAAAATGAAGCATCCCATGTACTCAATACTAAGTTGAAACTAGTAGATTCCAAACTACAGGCCCACACAAGATAAAACACAATTAATTCAATAAGGGTGGAGTGGGGAAGGGAATTCTAATTGTTCCTGCATAAGGGGTACAGTGTAGGGGTACATGGCACGCTTCCTGGGTGAAGTACTCAACTACAAATTGGGACTTTACCTTACAAATGCAAACAACGTAACCTAAGCATATGTACTCATATTAATCCAAAATTTTAAGAAGAAAATGAACATATGTATCTTAAAAAATGTATTTGGCGTGGCGCCCGTAGCTCAGTGGATAGGGCACAGGCCACATACACCCAGGCTAGAGCGTTTAAACCTAGCCAGAGCCAGCTAAACAACAATGACAACTACAAAAAAAAAATACCTGGTGTTGTGGCAGG